TTCCCATGTGTGGTGAGACCACACAGACAGAGAAATCACACCAGCTGTGGGCAAACTGAGAAGCCATCATATTTGGCAAGACACCTGGGAAGCCCTAAAGAAGAGTTAAGTAATATTAAAAGGAAAAATCTTTTCTCACTTTAAGGATGAGAAACATCATCATACAGGGTGTTAGGACCCTGCATAGTGCTACTTTAGAGGGCTTGAAAATAGAAGCAGAAAATGAAAGGATAAATGCCTTAACTGAGATTGACATAATACTGATTATAATTACTATCAATCTGGTAATTAATATTTTATCCTTAATAGCCATAGTGTTTTTGTGCCAAATATGAAAAGTGGTTTGATAAGATACAAGCCTTAGAAAGACTATAAACGAAAATAATATACAAAAACTACCAGATGATAAACACCCCCAAGGCTATGAAGAAGTTAAATGGAATCCTACAGAAATATTAGATTTGAGGAGATATAAGGAAGAGATCATTTCATATGGTATGCATTTACCCTATGTGAAGCAGATATTAAATTCATAGGCAACTCAGAACAGAATTATACCCCAAGACTAGAAAGATTTGCCAACAGCAATACTGGAAGCTAGTTCTCAGTCACAATGAAAAACATGACAGAAAAAGGAAGCTAGGGCCACAGAGCCATGACATAAGTCTACAGGTATTGGTATTTCCCAGGATCTGTTACTAGGTGAAGGTCAATATGCTAAGTTACAAAGATAGTTTGAATTTAATGATCACACCTTGGCTCTACGTCATTTAGCAGCTTCAAATGCTTAAGACAAGGTTGAACACTCAGGAAAAAGGTCTGAGTCATTTACTAAAATTATATAAGGCCCCAAAGAAGTCTTCACTGATTTTTTTTGCAAAGATTGACTTTAGTTGTAAATAGGATGGTATCAGATTCTGAAGTCAGACAAATATTAACCAAAACTTTGGCTTTTGAAAATGCTGATTTAGGATGTAAAAGGGTGATTAGACCTTTAAAGGCAAGATCAGTACCAATAAATTAATGGATTAGAAATACAGCTGATATTGGATCTCCTGTTTATGATGCCACTCTGATAGAAGTAATTTCTAAGTTTTAAGAAAAATCGAATTTTCGGATGTTTTATTCTTGTGGTAAGCAAGGTCATTTGAAAAGGAACTGTAGGCAAGACATTCCTAGAACAAATTTTTTTTTTTTTTTTCCTAGAAATAATCCAAAAGGAAGGCCCTAGCCTTCTGGAGTATGCAGAAGGTGTGGCAAAGGCTAACATTGGACTCATGAATGCAGATTAACAATAGAAAGGCAAGGTGTCCTCAGGTGTCCTCCCACAGGCCCTGACATCAAATTTGATTCAATCATTCCCTGTCAGCAGTTAAAAGATTTAACATCTGTTGTTAACAACACTGCTCTAGATGTAGTAAGGACAGAACAGCTTTAGTAGATTGAAAAAAAAAATTCAGAAGATACCAGAAAACAAGAATTTCGGCAAACTGATATAAATGATCAGAGACCAAAGTTAAAAATACAAATAAATGGCATTGAAATTGAATGTTTAGAAGATATAGAAGCAGATGTAACAATTTCACCAAAATCATGGCATCCAGATTGACCTCTTCACGGGGTACGTATTCAGTTTCTAGGGATTGGAACTTATATCTCAGGTAAAACAAAGTGTAAGATGGGCCAAGTGTATAGGGAACAAGGACAAATAGGAAAATTGAAGCCATATGTGACTCATATAGTAATGAATTTATGGGAACATGATTTGTTGTAGCAATGGAAAACAGATTAACATTCTTGCAATCTCAGAAACAAACCATAATGATGCTGAGAAAAATATTAAAAGGTATTATCAAAAACAGTCTCAGCAGGACACAACAGCTGTTGGTCTTTCAAAGGTACCAACCACCCTACCTTTTAATGGCTGACAAGCCTGTATGGGTGGATCAGTGGCCTATAACAAAAGAAAAATTACAGGCACTAGCTGGCAAAGGAGCAGCTAAATGCTCAACACACTGAAGAACTTCCAGCTCATAGAATTCCCCTGTGTTTGTTATAAAAAAAGAAATCAGGAAAATGGAGGTCATTAGCACATTTAAGGGCCATAAATGATTCAGCCAATGGGCTTATAGCCTAGAATCCCATCACCTTATTTATTACCTAAGTCATTGTCTATGAGAATAATTGACTTAAAAGATTGCTTTTTCAGAATCTCTTTGCATGAGCATGACAGGGGAAGGTTTGCTTTCTTAGTACCTACTTATAATAGTGGTCCTATAAATAGATATCATTGGAATGTCTTACCAAAAGGACTGTTAAACAGTCCTACCTTGTGTCAATCTTTTGTACAATAGATATTAGAAATAATTTGTAAAGTTTCCACAATCTAAAATTATATGGACGATACATAACTGGCTGATTCAGACACAGATACCTTAGAAAAAAAAAAGATTGATAAAGAGAATTTTGCCTTGTTGGGAATTACAAATTGCTCCCCCCCCCCAAAAAAAAAAAAACAAAAACAAAAAACACAAAGAGATTCTATCAGTGATCTAGGATATAAGATTGGTTTACAGAAAATTTGGCCACAGAAAGTACAAATCAGGGGAGATCAATTACAAACTCTTAATGACTTCCAAATATTGCAAGGAGGTATTAACTGGCTATGGCCCACATATGGATTAATAACTCAAGAGCTATTGCCACAAATCTCATAATCTTTCAGTTTTCATTTGATTCTTAATTTTTTTCTTAAAGTATAAATATTTTTCAAAACCTGTGATTATTACATATATAATATATTATAGTTTATATTAATATATTAATATTGATAACATCATTATTAAAATTAATATTAATAATATATTATATATAATAATCTTATAGATTATAGTCATGATACTAGCAGTCATACAGAGCACTAAATCTAGAAATAAGCTTCAACTAACTTGTGTTTTCAGGTTTGAGTCTGAAGCAGGTAACTAGGACCAAAGTTTGTGTACCTTGGATGTACTTAATAGCATGTGGTCTTCAAACCTTTTGGATATCTGCTGAATATGGCATTTAAAATGTTCTTTTCTACAATAGACCATGACCATTTGTAACAGTAACCTTTGAGATCTCCAGGGTGATGGAACCCTGCAATAACGAGTCCACGTGGGAAAAACTGCTCCGTGCTGCTTGCACGGCCACGTTCTGTGCACAGTGGACAGCTTTGGGTCGATTACTACGCTCTACCTAGCCAGGTCTGCCACTAAGCCGACAAACACCACTCAAATATCAGCTTAATCTACAGACTGCTCAGAACATACGAAACTGACATGAACATTTTACAGAACCTTGAACTCAAAACTACTTAATCCTAAGGCTGCAAAATACAACCAAGTCAGACACTGTGGAAAGAAATGGCTTGGCAGAAATAGCTTCATTATTGTAAATAATTTTACTGTGATACTTGAAATTTTTCCTTTTTATTTAAAAGGGGGGAGGGTATAGAAATAGCTAATTCAGTTTTGTTTTGGAAAAGTATGCCATAAAAATCCATTACTTTTTTTAGACAGGGTCTCTTGTATCCCAGGCTTGCCTAAAACTTGCTATGTAGCCAAGGATGGCCTTGAACTTCTGATCCATCTGCCTTTACTTCCCAAATGCTAGGGTGACAAGGTCCTGTCACATTCGGATCATGTAACGCTAGGGATGGAACCCAAGGCTCTGTATGTGTCAGGCAGACTGCTACGCCAGGAGCCACATATTCAGCCACGGTCGATTCCACTGAAACACTCATACATATGCTGTTATTCTAGCACTTGGGAGGCTGAGACAGGAAGACCTTGCGTTTGACACCAGACATGCTTACAGAGAGCCTGTCTCAAAAACAAAACAAACAAAAAACAAAAAACCCCAAATATCTTTAAAAGCTTTTATTCCAATTTTCTAAGTACAAAGGTCATACATGGCAGGTTCTCTTGGATGGTGCTCATTTCACATCTTATCCTGTTTACGCACCTCTACACTCACCCTAACACTGTCCCAGAACAAACCTCACGTGTATTTGGGGCCAAGCATCACCATTTGCAAGTAGAAAACCAGAGCACAGTGGGTGCAGCTTTTCTTTGGGGTGTTTTCTGAGGCAAGATCTTGCTATGTAACCCAGGCCAGCTTTGACATCTCAGTTATCTTCCTACCTCAGCCTTCTTAGGGCTTGGACTAGGGACATGTCACCATGTTTGGTTTGGGAGCAGGGACTTCAGTGTGTACGCTTGCACCTTCGTAGACATGTGGGTGGCCAGAGGCTCACACTGTGCGTCTCTCAATTGCACTCCCCTCTAGTTTCTGGGGCAGACTCTCCCCCAAACTCTGAGCTCAGCACTGTGCCTGGGGGTCCCACTTCTGCTTTACAGGGCTGGAGTCCCAGGCCTGCTACTGTGCTTACCTTCCTTTTGAAAAGGTTCTGGTCCACGAGCATATGTGGTAAGTGCTTTCACCACTGAGCGAGCCATTTGCCCAGCCCAGGAGCAGGTGTTAGAATTGGCCCATAGAGGCAGTTCTAGGCTGCCCCCATGAACAGTCTCACGGAGGTGCCAATTTTAACTATGGGGACAGAAAAGACGGCCTTCCTGCCCTGCTACTGTCATCTTGATGGCTGCCATTTTCTTACCAAGATATTAGAGAGAAGGGATTTATTTTGTACAAGGCAGTCAGGTGTTCTTTTCCTCTGTGCCATCCTTGTATCACGCAAGAAAAACCCCATGAGGAGCAAGGTCTAAGGCTGTTAGAAGTCTGTCCCTAAGCTCAGGGTCCTATTTAAAGTCTGTCCCTGAGCTCAGTGTCATTGTGACTTTAGAGAATGAACGGGCTGTGAGTAACCTGCAGTCTTGTTGTTACCTAATGTAAGCAGCAGAGTCACCAGGCTAAGCAAGAGGTTCAGCCTATTGTGTTGTAAGCCACCTCACCTGCCCCAGGACCCACACATCTCACAGCAAGTGACCACGCAGGTCGAAGATTGGAGAGAACAACTTTATAGCGTGGTGCCACAGCAGGAAAGTGTGGCACAGAAGGCCACAGGGGAGGAGCCCTGGAGGGGTACAGGCCTGCTTTAGAAGCAGTAGGACGTATGGGTGACCCAGTGGGCAGACTCCTCCTTGGAGCGCTTGGCAGAGCTGTGGCTTGTGAAAATGGACTTGTAGGTTTCCGATTCTTCGCTGTCTGCGATGGACCTCTTCAGGGTCCCACCTGGGGGCTTGCCAGCTTTCCCAGAAGCACTGCCATTAGTTGCTAGAAAACAAAGTCAAAACCTGTAAGGCCGGGACTGAAGGTCACTCCAAATGACTAATTTTTAAAGGGATCAACTCATGCATGCCATTTCCCCAAGATCCTTGTGTCTTGTTGCCATTTGGAAAGAAAGCTGAAGCGGAGGGAGCGGGTCTCATGCTGCCCAGGCCATCCTTGAACTCTCTACACAGCTAAGGCTGGCCTTGACTTGTGATCCTTTGGCTTCCACCTCCCGAGTGCTGGGATCATGGGTGTGTGCTATCACCTCAATTCACACCGTGCCGAGGACAGAACCCAGGGCTCTGCATACTGTGCAGGTGCTCTACCCACAATATATTAAGTTAATTATTTGAGTCAGAGCCTTACCATGTAGCCCTGGCTGGCCCAGAACTCACTATGTAGACCAGTCTGGTCTTAAACTTGGGTGACTCTCCTGACTCTGCCTCCCAAGGAAGTACATGCTACTATGCCTGGCTTGAAGCACAGACTCCCAATAGTGTCTCCTCAAAGCTAGTCAGAGCTCCCACACTTAAGGCCTTGCTGAACACTGTGTACTAGCACCAGATTGTCACTAGCTTCTTTGGCAGTCAGGCTGAGGGCCTAGTCTTCTTAGGTTGGTATTGTACAAGGACAAAGAGAGACAGAAATCCCAGTGGCCTGTCCTAGCCAGCCCACCATCCTGAGTAAAGCCAGGATGGGAGCTGCTGGCCACTGTTTATACTGGACATAACACAATCTCACTTTCTCTTTCTTGTGTTTCTCTTCTTGTAAAATAACTGTGACCTTATTTTCTTTTTGCAGCTCTGAGCCTTGAACCCAGGACCTCACACACGATAAACAAGTTCTCTACCACTGAGAACTACAGCCCCAGCTCTCTTCTATGCTTTATTTTGAAAATTGCCCAGGTTGGCCTGAAGCTTTTGATCCTTCAGATCCCACATAGCTGAGATAGCAGAACTATGGCACCAGGCATGGCATAAATATCTATTTTCCTCTTTTGGTTTTCTTTTTTTCTCTTTGTTTATCTATATGCATGTGTGTGTTTGTGCGAACGTATGCCATGTACATAAATGTGCCTGTAGAGGCCAGAAGATGGTGTCAGATCTCCTGGAGATGGAGTTACAAGTGGTTGTTAACTGCCAGATCTAAGTGCTGGGAACAGGACTCGGGTCTCCAGCAAGAGCAGTAACTGGCTCGTAACTGCCGAGCCAGCTCTCCTGCCCTAGCTTTTTTCTTTTTGAAAGTCTCAGTACAGAGTCTAGGCTGGTTCACTATGTGACCCAGGCTGGCTTGGCACTCATGGTTGACTCTATCTCTGCCACTAGGCGGCGTAAATCTCTTTCTTTGAGGTAAAGACATTGAATTTCAAGAGCAGTTTTGCACTTGACCATGAGGCAGGCAAAGAGAATGGACCCTGAGGGCAGTATAGGAAGGGTCTGCAGTGCCCAAGTGACTGAAGCATCTGAGTGGCTCTGTGTGCTGCTGGGCTGTGGCACCATAGCTCACTCAGCAGTAACAAGTGGGCTTTGTGCCAAGAACCTTTTGGGCCAACAGGGCTCCAGGAAGGAATGTGAATCTACTTTTTTAATATAATTTTTTAAATTTATTTTTATATTAATTAGTTTATTCACTTTGTATCCAGCTGTAGCACCCTCCCTTTTTTCCTCCCAATCCTACCCTCCCTCACTCATCTCCTCCCACGCCCCTCCCCAAGTCCACTGATAAGGGGCTCCTCCTCCCCTTCCTTCTGACCCTAGCCTATCAGGTCTCATCAGGATTGGCTGCATTGTCTTCCTCTGTGGCCTGGTAAGGCTGCTCCCCCCTCAGGGGGAGGTGATCAGAGAGCCAGCCACTGAGTTCATGTCAGAGACAGTCATTGTTCCCCTTACTAGGGAACCATATAAGGGAAGAAATCAATGTATCTATCAAAGTGAGTCTACTTTTTAATCAAAAGACACAGGGAGCCACCTGTGAATGACTAGGAAAGCCTACGTTTTCTCAGCCCTTTGCTCTGGCTTTCCAACTTTCTCAGTTCTCTGCTGGCTCAGTAAGTCCTACCTGTGCCCTTGGGAATCAAGGTGCTTTTTTTCTCTCTAGGATCGGAGTCTGCCTCCTCGGGCTTGCCAGCCTTCACTTTTGATGGCCCCGCGGAGTCTGTAGAAGACAGAGTCAGCAAAATAAACCTTGAGCCAAAGCAGAGCAAGGCCCTGATGCACTGAGGACAGACCTGCATGTCAGGTTCTTAAGGTCTTACCTTCTGTGATACCCGGCTTTGAAACACACTCAGCTGCCTTCGGCTTCTTTGCTTTCTGTAAGAAGGAAGACACTGTTGGAGACACTGTGGCTTGAATGAGAATGTCTCCCAGAGGCTCAGGTGTTTGAACATTTGGTCCCTAATTGGTGGTGCTGTTTGGGAGTTTATGGAGCTAACTTTCAGCAGTGGAGGTGTGGCACTGGGGAGGGCTGAGGGTATATAGTATCTCATCGTTTCCAGTTCTCTTTGCTTCCTGAGTGTGGATGAAGGTGTTAGCTCACAGCTTTTCGCTCTTGCTGACATGCCTGCCCACCATGATGGACTCGTAGCCCTCTGGAACTGTGAGCCCAAGTAGAACTTGCTTCAGTTGGCTGCCTTTGGTCATGGTGTTTTTGCACAGTGACAGGAAAGTAACTGATACAGAGGGCCTGCCTAGGACCCAGGGTCCCTCTGATGGCTTGGCACATCTCTCTAAGGATGACCTGTCTGTGGGCAAGCAGTGATGTCCCACAAAAAAGCTAGGAGGTCCACATAGAGCGAATGTTCAGTGTTAGCTTCATAGTCTCAAAACTTTTAAATAAGACTATGTTTCAATGATGAGTCAATGTTAGAGGTTGGGAATGTTGCTCAGTGGCAGGGCACTCATCCAGTGTTCCTGAGGCCATGAGTTTGATACCCAAAGCCACAGTACAAACAATATTTCCAGGGACTGTCATACACAAAAGAGCAGTTAGATAATAACATAATCTACACGCATGAACATAGACGAAGTCTCACTCACCCATGGCTCTCAGTTTCAAAGCTATCAAACGCTGATGCTTAGCTGTAGGGCTTGGAGGCTTTTAAGGACTCTAGCTAAGTTAAAGTCTAGGTTATTCTTGTTGGAGTTCTAGATGCCGGATTGGTAAGACGGTTACTGGTCAGCCCCAGAAAGATGACCATTTTCCCAAACTACACTCAACTGCAGAGCTGATCAGAAGTACAGCTCACAAGTTACTTTAAAATGTCATTTCTATAAGAACCAAGAAGTATCAAAGAGACATAGCCTAGCCAGGCGGCACAGCTGTTGCTCAGCACTGAGAGCTAAACACAAGAGAATCATGACTTTAAGACCAGCAAGCTGGAGGCCAGCCTGGGCTTCATGAGACTCTTTCTCTAAAATAATAATAATAATAATAATAAAATAACTAAAACAAAATAATGATTTTTTCGGAAGGCCCTCATTTCTTACAAATATGGTGGCCTCAATATGTGACATACACATAATGTAACTTAAAGTATTTGAAAAAAAAATGTTTGTTTCATACATGAAATACACACATCTGTGAAAGCTACTACTAAAACAAAACGAAACAAAACAAAAAACCAAACCCACAGACTAAGAACTAAGGAGGTGTCTCAGAGCAGAATCACCTGGTGCGGAGAGCCAGGCTTGACTGTGCTTATCTGTAACCCAGCCCTGGTAGGAAAGAGACTGGGGCCCTGAGAATCTGCTGGTCAGCCAGGCATGCTGAAATGCTGGTCTTCAGCCTTAGTGTCTCGAGGTCACAGAGCAGAGAGTGATAGAGGAAGTCACCTGACATCTTGTCCTGCCTTCCAAGTGTGTGAGCACACTAAGTGTTCACACACTCCCAACCACACAAAACAGCCAAAGACAAATGCTCTGTTCTCAGCCCTCCATTTACAGCAGAGCTGTTTCAAATGCTCCGTTCTCAGCCCTCCATTTACAGCAGGGCTGTTTCAAATGCTCTGTTCTCAGACCTCCATTTACAGCAGGGCTGTTTCAAAGCTGGAGGTATACACAGAGAGACACTAGGCCCCATCCGCAGGTGAGGGTATTTGGGAAATATTTTGTATCTTGGTAGCAGTATCTAAGCGCATTGACAGAGGCCCTGCTGCGGAGGCTGCAGAGGGGACCTAATCCCACTGGGCTCTGCAGGACTTGGCAGGAATCCTGTAAAGGGACAGTCGCTCCAGGAGAACACAGCTCTCTGTTCTGCAGCTCTCTAGCTGCTGCTTTGAGCACACAGTGACTAAGGACAGCAGGCAGATCACTTTGTCTGCTGTCTCGTCAAAGACACTTCAGGATTTTCTATGCTTTTATGCTGGGAAGTGCAGAGTAATTTAGAAAACTAATTTGGAATTAACACACACACACACACGTTGGATTTTTTTTTTTTCTTTTAAATCTCCATATACAGCTTAAATGACCCAGTGGCTTTCAGTATTTCTCATGAATGTTGTGACCATCTTGTAAACAGTTCCACAAAATGTTTCCATGGCATTTAATTTCAGAGTTGTCCACAATTCCTAGTGCTATGGAACATTTGCATGTACTTCATGCACTATTTTCTAAAATGATAAAGGAGGAAATGAGAATGGATTTGAGCATAAGCTTTTTTGTTTATTTTTTGACACAGGGTTTCTCTGTGTATCCTTGGCTGTCCTGGAACTCACTCTATGGACCAGGCTGGCCTCTGCCGCCAAAGTGCTGAGATTAAAGACATGGGCCATGACCTGTCAGCTACCATCAGCTTTCTAAGCCTCACAAATGTGAACTACTATCGCCCGTGGGTGATGTATTTCTGTTCTTCCTTCTGTGACTAAGATGCAAAGCTCTGAAGCCCCTTTCGTCACTACAGCCCTAAGTCCTCAGATGACACAGGCAGATGTGGGCGGGTTTAATGGCAGCCATCTCCTGGCCATTGTGTCCTCACTATTAGCTCCAACGCTTGCAGCACTGCCCTGTGTTTTTTGTTTGTTCCAGTGCTGGGATCAAAGCCACGACTCTGTGCATGAGACGCAGCTGCTCTCCAATGGAGTCATATTTGGCCCTTGGGTCTCCAAACTGGCCTCTACATCTCCTGACTCCATGTCAGGAGGAGAGGATTACAGGTGGCCCACATCTGGACTTCTACCTTAGTAAAAACGAAAGTGAGGCCCAAGTTTACCTTCAACTTAACCTTTTATAAAACAACAAAAACAAACAACAAAAGACCAAATAGAGCCTCAATGAAGTCCACTGCTTTTTGTGCCAACTTAAAACAACAACAAAAAAAGATTCTGCCCCTTCCCCTCCCAGGACTGCTGGACCACACTGCAGGTGGCTGAGGATGTGGGCCCTTCACATTTGCTGGGGCGACGGTGACTTGTGCTCTCACCTTTCCTAGTTATGAAGATGGAATATGGCTGCCTTTTCCCGAGAGTTCACAATGCCACACTGTGTACAAGTGCTTGATGGGTCATTTTAAAAGCATCCCTACACCATCATACCCTGTGCAGCCAACCACCCACTGGTGATGAAGCCTAATGCAGCCATGCCCTAAATCTGTTTCTAGAGACCAGGCCTCGTCCTGGGTGGACAAAACTCAGCCGTGTCGCTCTCGGCAGCATGTGCTAAGGTGACAGAATAGCTTTCAATGGGCTCTGGGGGAGAAGTGAGGCCCCCTTACTACCTTTTCCAGCTTGGCCCGAAGCCGCCTCTCCTCCATCCTCTTCTTCAGGAGCTCCACGTCCTCTTTGGTGCCATTGAGTATAATGATGTCATCCTCCTGGAAGGCAGCCCCACACTGAAGGGCAAAACAGAGGAGAGTCAGTCACAGGAGGGGAGGTATCGATGGCCCTGCTCTTCACTCAGCACTGGCCTCCAGCCTTTGCTGGTTCCCATCTGTCACAGCTTTGTCTTCATCTCAGATCAGCTGTTTTCAGGTCCAGCCTGGGCCTGAGCAGTCCATGTGCCCAGACCAACACAGCCTGACAGCCCCTCTCTAGAGGGTTCCAACATGCGTAACTGACAGGGTGGCTCACGGTACCAGACTTTGCTCACACTGCCCATACTGGACATTTGCTTTCCTCCTGGGAGTCTGTAATCTCTGACTATCCAGCCTTGAGCAGTGGAACCACCTGAAGCTGTGTCACTGTGTGGCTGGGGGCGTGGCTACCCTGTGTGATCTCCCTCATCCTCCCCATACCACACACCGCTGTTGTACCAGCAGCACACTGCGGCAATAGGCCTTAGCTGACAGTTCAAATATCTGCTAATTTCTGACAGTCTTTCTAGAAAATTCTAAATATAAGGGTGACACTAGACACATCTTGGCAGAACAAGACTGAGTCATGTCCAAGGTATCCCCATAGTGTCCTAGAGGCAGATACAGACACTTCTTTGTGTCCATGCTTAGCTCTACATGCACACATGCCCCTGTTCACAGAATTGCAAGCAGGCAAGTCACCACCTCAGAGAGGCTACCTGTCACCACACCATTAAGTCCCTTCCAACTCTGTTAGAGAGAGGCCCTGGGCACTGAGGAGTAGGCTGGGACCTGTTTTCACATTACCTATGCTGTCCCCATTGCTATGGCCTTGGCACTGAGCACAGTGCCTAACACACGGCAGGAAGAGTGACAGTGACAGAGGGCAAGGCTCTCCTACACGGAACTGAAGTCTTTGCTCCAGTGTCTCAGGGCAGTCTCCTCAGCCATAAGGGGGGGGGGGTTAACCCAGTGCAGAGACCCTCAAAGGCAGCTGCTCTGTTCCCTAGGGACAATGATTCTGGCCATCATATCTGGGAAGAGGTGTCACTGCCATGTTCCCTATAAGAAAGCTGATAAACAGGGTCCTGTCCTTTAACACAGCCCAAGGTCTCTGTGACCTCCTAGCACACAGGACAGAGGTGAGTGTGCTGGCCTCACTCTCCCTCACCCCACTAGGGATGACGAGTGGCACACCCCAAAGCCACCTTCAGGTCAGCATCTGCTCCTTTTGCAGGGCTGCCCTGAGGAGTGTTGCTAACTAAAGACATCTGCTTTGACTAACAGAGCCCTGAGCTCGGTGGCCTCCAGAGAAGTGACACAGGAAGGAAGGTACCCACTGCGGTAAAGGGCTGACTCGGGCACCATACCACAGGCAGGGAGGTGGGGAGGAACAGCCGCTGAGCAGATATTCCCCTGGGAAGTCCTGCACCAGGGGACACTTGGGTAGAGAATCCCTCTGTGAGGGAGGGGGTCTTTTCCTTGGAGAGGGAATGAAAAGGGACTTTTCTGGAACTGAGTGAGGTGGGAAGGGAGGCCCAAGGGGCATGGAGGCTCACTCTGGCGTAAATAAGCCTCTTGAGGGTGGTGCAGAGTGCAGAAGGCGAGACCCTTGGTGCAGGGCCACCCTCTCTGTAGGGATCTCAGCTAAAGTTTCTGTCCAGAGGCTCTGGATGGTCCTACTTCTTGAACAGTTCTGCTTCTTGAACAGTCCTGCTTCTAGTTTTTAACATCAGAGGAGAGGCTACCAATGTATTTTATAATCAAAAAGCTTGGCACAAAATCATGTCAAGCAAAAACCACCGTGAACTAGAATTTTGCGACGATGGGATTCCTAGTCACAGAACATGACAACTGTATGTTAGGGCTGCTATTGCTGTGAGAAGCAACATGTCCAAAGGCTGTCTCTTTCTGCACCATGCATTTTAAGCTTTTGTCTCTAAAGTGAGTTTTCTCAGCTTCTACTCTGAACTCAAACATTCAGGGTGGGTGTAGAGAAAAAGCCCAGAACTGAAAAGAGGCTGAACCTTGGTGTTTCTCTCTTGAAACAGAGTCTCACTAAGTAACTCTGGCTAGCCTTGCTCTCCCTATAGACCAGGCTTGGCCTCAAACTTGTGGCTATCCTCCTGGAAACTTGGGGTGACCTTCCTTACCCACCCCGTGGCCCTGTTCTTTTCCTCTGTAGTGCTGGCAGCAACCTTCTTTGGAAGCAGCCATGGCTGTGGCCTGACTGTACACACACATACCCAGCACTGGTGTATGTCGAGAGCTAAATAAGTCACTGACCACTAGAAGTCTGGGGCTGGGGAAATGGCTCAGTGGTTGGGGCGGCTACTGCTCTTGCTAAAGACCCAGGTTCAGTCCCCAGTACCCATATGGTGGATCATTACCTGTATCTGCAATTCCAGGGGATCTGACACTCTCTTTTGCCCTTGTGGGTACCTGCACGCAGGTGGTGCACATAAACTTTTGCACACATACACACACGTAATAAACCTTTTTTTTCTTTTTTTAATGGGCTATCTTAAGCCTAGTACTAAGGAGAATACCACAAGTTCATGGGCTACACAGCAATTTTTTTCAGGGCAACATAGATTACACAGCAACGCCCTGCCTCAGAAGCAAAAACAAACAAAAATGAACCCCCCCCAACAGACACACACACACACACACACACACACACACACACACACACACACAAACCCTCAAAAGGACCATTAACACTCAATGACATTAGTTGCTTGGACCTAAACTAAGTAGAACTGTCCCTCAAGACAGTCTCCTCCAGGCCATGTTACATGTTCTGGCCTTGTGAAAGTTCCCTTACATTCAACCTTGGGATGTGGGTGATGGATGTATCCTAAGGGCAAGTGAGACAAAGGAAGGAAGCAACTACATATGCCAGCTGCCAGCTCTTCTCTGTATATGACGATCTAGGGCCACCTTTGGTGGGAAGGAAGGGCAGGGCTGGTGCACAGGCAGGGATGGCTCATGGAGACACATTTGGTTAGAAACACTTTTTTTCTCCTTTTCTTTTGAGACAGGATCTCACTCTAGCCCAGGTTAGCTGAGAAATACTTAAGCTGGCTGGGAACTCATGGTAATTCTCCTGCTTCAGCTTTCGAAGTGCTGGAGCCATAGGAAAGAACCACCATGCTCACATCTTAAATCTTGAGACAAGGTCTCACTTGGAGCTCAGGCTTGCCTCTACCGGTAAGTTGTATGTATCACGACTGGCTGCTTTTCTAAAATTCTTGCAGATAGGAACAGAGTCTCGACAGATGGAGTCCAACACCACAAAGGCATAAGCTGTACTTGCTCTCCCCGAAAAGAGCTTTATGAAGGTCCAGCCTGAAGATCATAGAAACTGCCAGCTACCCCACCAAGACCTCCTTCTAGAGCAGTGTGATAGCTGTTCCACAAAACACTCATGCCTCAGGGGCATTCCACCAGCAGGGTCATCCACACCACCCACCCTCTGAGCCATCTAATTTTGGAGTCTAGAAATTCAGGAGGGGACAAATCTTCAGGTTTGGCTTCTCTACTGTGTGTTCTGTTCTGCATGTGGGTGGAAGCAGGGCCTGATGAATGCTAGATTAGCACTTTACCACTGAGCCACATCCGCAGGAGCCCATGGGGTGTGATGACCTAACCCCCTTCACTTATCCACTGAAAACAGAGCTGTTGGGCCAGTAGCTGGTTCATCAGGTAAGGACACTTGCTGCCAAGCCTCATGGCCTGAGCATAAACCCTAGAATTCACATGGTGGAAGGGGAACTGGCCTCTGCAAGTTGTCCTAACCTCCACTCATGCTCAGTGGTGCACACACACACAAAGGAATGAATGAATGAACGTGAAAATGTCGGAAAAACTGGCCCGTTTTAAAGAAAATAGGGTTTTTGTTTGTTTGTTGTTTTTTTATTGTTGTTTGTGTTTTTGAGACAGGGTTTCTCTGTGTAGCCTTAGCTATTCTGAACTCATTTTGTAGACCAGGCTGGCCTTGAACTCTCAGAGATTTGCCTGTCTCTGCCTCCCAAGTGCTGGGATTACAGGCATGCGCCACTGTGCATAGGTTGTTTTTTCTTTATTTGTTTTTATGAGACATATACTGCCTTGTCTAGCCTAGAGTTTGCTATGGAGACCAGGTGAACTGGGAACTAATAGAGATCCGCCTGCCCCAGTCTCTCAGGTGCAGAATGGTGAAATTAAAGGTGTGCTACCGAGTCTGGCTTTGAAGAATACATTAGGAATGTGACTGAGATCTTAGAAACCATCAGCTCAATCAGTGGTTTTCTGAGTCTCAGTGTTGAGCCCCCACCCTGCCCCACATGGCGTGTGATGCTCAGAGAGGGCTGCTGCTTTCACATCGCGGAAGGCTGTATACTCCTCCCTCATCTGGCTGCTCTGTGTACCTCAGCACCTCTTACTGCTTTGTTTTCTGTGCCACCCCCTTCTCTCCTGGCAGGTGTACAATCCTGACAAATTCTCAGGGACCAATAAAGCAGCTGTCTTTTCCACCAATGTGTTGGGATCAACAAGAATACAAGTCTCCAGGGACACAAGGTAAACCAGCCTGAGAAGCAGGCGCTGCAAAGGGAAGCATTGGAGCCGGGAGAGGAGAGGTGGCCGGGCCAGCACCTGCCCACGTTCCTGCCAGGAACAGGAACTGCACCTGGTGAGTGTGTCACTAACAAGGTGGGGAGGGGATGGTGGGCAGCAGGGGTGTGCTCTGGAGGAAGTGGGCCTTTCTCAGCTGTCTGCCACTGCAAACACAGTATCAGCGAGGTATGACAGGCAGGCGTCACTTTCCCCTCAAAACAGCGCATGGCTTTTTATTTTAAGCCGAAGAAAATCATAGTGGACTATTTCCACAGCACGGGACAGATGACACTTCTCAGGCATTACAAAACCACTATGTCTTAACCTTAGTTAAGTCAGCCTGGAGGCCACAGCCCAAGCCTATTTCTATTGGTGGCAGTACTGAAAATGACCTGGCAGCTGTGCTTGTTCCAAGTGGAGCCCCCAACAGAGGAGCACAC